TGATGCTGTACTCGATCAAAGGCCTTTTCATAGTCAATAAATACAGCAAAGACGTCTTTCCTGTGATCTCGACATTTCTGCAGTAATACATTTAGTGCAAAGAGGGCGTCCCGAGTTTCCAGTCCATTTCTGAAGCCAAATTGTGTTTCATCCTGGTCTTCTTCACATTTATCTCTGATTCTACTGTGGATGATCCGTAGAAATATTTTCAAAGTGTGGCTCATAAGGCTTATCATTTTATAATCACTGCAGTTTTTCGGACGTTGTTTTTTTGGCAGTGTTATGAATTCAGACTTTAACCAATCTTCAGGGATATCACCAATCGAATAAACATCATTGAAAAGCTTGACCAGTATTCCAATGTTCTCCTCATTTACAAGCTTTAACATCTCTGTCGGTATGTTATCAGGGCCAACGGCTTTCTTGTTCTTTGCTAACTTTATAGCATACAGTATTTCTGATTTTAGTATTTCTGGTCCTTCACCTTCAACTAAAGTCTCCAGTTCTTCGGGTCTATCATCATTATACAGTTCGCTTATGTAATTACACCAGATTGTTCGAATTTCATGTTGGTCTATTATCATTTTCCCCGACGGATCGGTTATAGTATGTGGAGTTTTCTTATGATAAAGACCAGCTACTTCTCTAACTTTTTTAAACATATTAAAACTACTAAAGTCAACTGCTATTAACTCATATATTTAATTTTATATGTATAGCAAAGTATATAGAAGCAAGTCTCCTAAGCCTAACAGTAATTTCGTAGTACACTTAGTGGATATATAGTGCAAACAATACAAATTGTTTGAACCCTGAAGTGGCTAGTTTAAAATTAAGTTTGCTCTGAGGACGCTGATGTTGTCGTTTACGTTTAATTATTGATTATAAGTGTCCATCAAGAACTGTCTATCTTATAAATATTATTATAGTTATTATATTATATTAGTTATTTTTTCACCACTAAACCGTTTAAATAAAAATATAATAAACATTTTAAATTTTGGTACTTTTGCCCGAATTTACTACACCCCTTTGTCAGACAAACAAAAAGTTAAATGCTTCGAGGCAACTTTTTACAAATACGTAATTTTCTATGGATGAGTAGAAATCTGACAAAAGCAACTGATAACAAACGGATCAAAAATCACATCATTCAGTAACATGAATTCCAACACATATCATCGATCAGTTTTTCATTTTCGAATTAGAGCTGATGGCAAGTCTGATTGGATACTGAATTATTGTGTTTGTGTGGCTGTGTATCCGAGAACGTAGAATACGGGGGTTGAAACAGAGTGAATGAACTGAAGTGTGAAGTGTACTTTTAATACGGTCTGGATTTGACTGATTTAATAAAAATTGAGTAAAAAACTAAATATTAGGTTAATGTTTTTATTTTAAATGCGAAAAATGTCAACAGTGTGAATGTACAATTTCTTTGTTAATATTCCAATTATCTGTACCAAAGTAAGAATAGTTGTCAAGTCACTTGAAATTCAAAAACAATTTCTTGAGATCGGTCTAGAATTACCTGAGTGAATTAATGTTTTTACCGACTCCTTGTAAATGATGCAGTCCAGACGAACCATAGATTGCAACTTTATCCAAACCTTGAGAATTCAGTCTTTGAAGCTCCAAAAATATTGTTATGTAGTGGGCAGAAAATTACAATATCCTGTTTACTTGATTTTGGCCTGGAATATTTTCCCACACAAGCGGGTATTGGATAGAGCTTCGATCCGATAAAAGGAGTACCTATTTATTCCTTTAGCAACATTATTATAGAAATAGCATAGAAATAGAAATATTATAGCATAGAAATAAACCGAAAAATCTTAAACAGCGTAAGATTTGCAGATGACACCGTTATTTTAGCTAACACTCTAGACACACCACAATATTTAGTACGCACAGCAAATGAATGTAGTATTTAGAAATAATAAAAATGAACAATCGAGCTGAAGAGAAGAATAAACCTAACCTAAGTTCCTAAGTTAGGTTAGGTCTAGTGTCTTAAGAATTATAATGTAATTTAAGGGTCATTTGACCTCATTATCTGGGTAGTTCCAACTACTTTATAGCCTTGTTCACTGATGATGATCTGATAAGATCTAAAACATTCTGAAAATTTATAAATCCAGTTTGGATAATTTTAAAATTTTAATAAAAACTTTATACCATTTTACAAAGGAAGTTTTTTTAAACTATGGTATACGTAATGTCTCCGGAGGCGTGTCAGGCAGAAGCTGACAGCCGTGCCGGACGCATTTAGAAATTCGGAGAAATACTTGGAAATTCCAAGTTTGGGCAAATCCGAATTTCTAATTGACTCGATGCAGGGAAATTCCACTTTTGCTACGTAAAACAAAGGATTTGTTTTATATAAAAGCAGATGGAATTTCTCTGATCGGTCAGTCGAGCTTGCCTCTTCTTACTATAGACCCAGTCGGTGCTTTATTGTATCAACTTGAGCTATTGTTTTATTTCTGATTTCCTGTGTACCTTTTTATTTTAGCATTTGTCGTATATTCAGACCTTTTCAGGTTAGAATATTACTATTGTTCATGTATTGATTTATTTACTATTTTATTTGATTATTTCTGATCGTTTATATTTCTTGTATTTGTGTCTAAGTAGTTCTTTCCGGTAAGTTAAAGAACTCTTAGAAATATTTTTCTGATATTTCACTTGTGTTTCATTGTGTGTCTAAGTCGTTCTTTTCCGGTAAGTCAAAAGAACACTTAGAAGTATTTCCATATTTGCATTCTTATTTCTGATATTTCGTATACTTGTCTCTGTTATTTTCATTTTCACGCTAAGTCGTTTCTTCCGTAAGTCAAGAAACACTTAGCTATATTTCTATATCTTTTCCGCATTTTATTTTCTTATTTTCTATTACAAGTTGTTTCTTCTGTAAGTCAAGAAACACTTGTAAATATTTGTATTCTTATTTTTGCATTTTATTTTTCTTATTCTATATTACAAGTCGTTTCTTCCGTAAGTCAAGGAACACTTGTAAATATTTATATTCTTCTATTGCATATTTGATTCTCTTGTTGTTTTTCTGTTCTAAATTGTTTCTTCCGTAAGTCAAGAAACACTTAGACATATTTTCACATATTGTTTTATATTTACTTATTTCATTTGTTTATATTCCTCTCTTAAGTTGTTTCTTCCGTAAGTCAAGAAACACTTAAGAACATTTCTGCATTCTTTTACCTTGTGTATTTTTACTCATATTTCTGCATTTTTCTATTCTTTGATCTTGTACATTTTTACTTTTCATTCTAAGTTGTTTCTTCCGTAAGTCAAGAAACACTTAGAAACATATTCTTTGCACTACATTTATCATACCATTTTATTTTTACTAAGTTATTCCTTCCGTAAGTCAAGGAATACTTAGATTATTTTACCTGTTCCGTTTTCCATTTTTGATCTGTTATTTTGTAACTGTTCCTTGGAACCGTTACCTGTAACAGATACTTGTCGCTGTAACGGTTATTCTGTAACGGCAACAGTACTGACCCATTTCACTAGCGACAAACGAAGATGGTAAACACCCGTTCCAATTCCGGAGACAGGAAAAAGTCCGAAGAGCCGGCGATGGGTGCTACAGGCCCAAATGCCCCCTCTCGGCAACAGTACAACCACTGGGAATTTCCCTTTTAAATTTGTGGGAATTATTTTAAAAAGTAAATTTTGATTGCTACATCATTATTTAAGTATTTACGATTTAAACACAACGATAACAATTATTCTTCTTCTTCTTCAGGTGCTCTGTCCGCTAGAACGTTGGATATTAACATGGCAATTCTGATCTTACTTACAACATGGTCTATAACGATCACTTTATATAAAATTAAAAATTACAGCTATGACCAGACGGTCTTCACGGAATTCATCACTGATTCTGGTCCATGCTTGAATTCTTTAAATCATCTATGAACACTCGATGAGGCTTTATCACGAAAATCAACACAAGTCGATTGACGCATTGTTTTAATTAGGACAACTTTAAAAACGATTTAAATTATCTCAGAAAAAAGTTTTTTTGTTTTCTCACCATGGTTTCTCACCATTTTTTCACGAAATTAACTGTTTTGAAAATTTGTTATCGCTTAGATGCAAGCGATAGCAAGTTTTGCTAGATCATGTATACTTTTACGTATTTTGTAGAGCGAAAAGGACAGAAAATAATAATTAATAAATTGTTTTTGTTCATGACCATTAAAGTAGATGGCACCTTTGTACGCTTACCACTTGAATGGAAAACAATCAGGAGACGTTTGGTTGGTCCTTCGTGTTTGAATTTGCCTTCAGGACCCGCGTCTGATGTGACCATAGGACGTCGAAATAATGTCATAAAAGCGACAGCAAACTTTTTGCTAGATGTAAACTATGGAAGAGGTAAAGATGCACATAATTTTTTTTCTATGAGGTATCCAATGAAATCGAATATTGAGGAAGACTAAATACCAAAACAAATATTTACAACATATCTCGGGATAGCATCAAGAGATTTTCCTTAACCATAATTTGCAGTGGAATGAGATTTTCTTAATTTGCCTAATTTTAATTGACAAAAAAATATTGGATCAAAGATTATTTTGATACGCCGCTGCGTTTATCATCGAATTAAATCATAAAAAAGTAACATGGATTTGTCATTATGATTTCCGATGATAAATACTTGATGAGAACGACGAACGTTAATGGCGTATTTTTCATTTTCCTTCATTATCGGTTCCAGATAAATTATAATCATTGTGGACAGCATGGACATGGCAATTCCATTTCGCAGTGGAGGCATAGTTGGTGTGCATCTGTGATCCGGCCTTTGTATTTTACATAGATATAATGTTGGGGACAATAATAGGGACGCCAAAAATACAAAGTGACAAAATGGAAATTTTATATAAGTATATACGGCTGGATGAAATCCAATCCGGTCATTACGAAATGAAAATACAATTTTAGGATATATATCCACGGATATCCTCTCACGAGTGCTGAATTAAAATGTAGCAAAAATATTTAAATTATCAATGTCAATTTGACAAACTAAAATTCAATAATTGGAAAGTCGCATGTAATTCATAGACTTACCTGTACATCGAAGTTATGCTGTTGTTGCTGTAGGACTGCACTATCCACCTGATGAGGCTGGTGTTGTTGAGGATGCTGTGGTGCATAACCATGCTGCTGCTGTTCATATGGATTTCCACTAGCCTATAGAAAAAAAAATGATGATTAGATACACGCGCACACACATACACACACACGTATGTGGAATTTTCGAGCACTTTCGAGAAGCTTACTACACCAAAAATCGTTAGAAAATACTGCATATAAGTGTATTAAAGTAATTAAAGCAGTTCTTTGCAGTATAATAAACCCAACCCAAAAACAGTACAGTTCTTGAGAACTTCAGAAATAAGTGAACTGATCAGAAACACTTCACTAAAGAAAGCACCTGGTCCAGATGAAAGCGCTAACAGAGCTCTGAAGTATATTCCTTCGAAAGCAATTGTATATTTGACAAGCATAACAAACGCAATACTAAGATAGAGGCTCTTCCCAAATCGATGAAAGGAAGCGCATCAATCATGATACCAAAGCCAGGAAAGAACGACATATTTCCGAAAAGTTACAGGCCGATTGAATTACTTACCAGCAGTCAGTAAGATAGAAGAGCGAGTCATCCAAACCAGACTCCAATCAGAGACAGACAGGCTAGGGTTAATCCCAGAAGCACAATTTGGAATCAAAGCTCAATATTCCAGCAAACTATAAGTATTCACGACCTACAGAATACTTAGCAGCTGGATTCAACGACAAGCAATATACAGGAGCAGCCTTCCTGAATGTAAGCAAAGCCTTCGATAGAGTGTGGCATAAAAGTCTGACAAAAAATAAGAGATTATTTATACAGTGGAGCCATGTAGAGGCCAGATAGGACTAGTTCATAGATAGACTATCTGAACATGAAATCCCGGAAGCTGGAGTAACACAGGGGACAGTTTTATCACCCCTCCTGTATAGCATATATACTACTGTATACCGTAGTCGTCCAAGACGTCCAAGAACGTCCAAGAACACCCGAAACACTAATCAACCTTTATGCAGACGACACTGCAATCGCGGCAAAACATAGGAGCCTAGATATGACTGTAAAAAATCTACAAGCGGCATTGGATACGGTGGAAGAATGGAATATCCAATTCAAAATAGCAATAACTCCAGAAAAGACCCACGCAGTTATCTTCAAAAGGAGAAGAGATAACCCAGAAGAACAGTTAACAGTGGAAGACAGACCCATCGAATCTAAATACCTAGGAGGTACAGTGGACCAAGATTCACAACAAAAGTTAACGACAGTCCAGAAAACAGCAACGGCCATAGCTGTAATAAGAGGACTCATAGGAAGAAGAAGCAAATTAGCTACGACAGCTACATAGCAACAAAAAGAAGATTCAAGCAGCGCAAAACAACTAGTTTAGAGAAGCTGCAAACCTGCACAGATACGTCGCAGAATGGTTTTTATTTAGAGACCTAAAGCCAGACCACCCAAACCAGATCCTGCGATAGATATTAAAGTATGATGTGTACCATAGATGAAAGCACAGAAGACTAGCAAAACATAAAGTCTAAATAATCGTAGCTCTATCAAAAGAAGACAACGCACTCACCTTTGGCATGGAAGTGTATTTAATAATGTTGATTTTATATGTTTCAAACAGCCCTCAAAAAAAAGCTGAGTCACCGAACTGGGAGTAGCTTAGAGCGGGGACTCAAGGTTCGAACAAGCAATACAGATGGATGATAAATCACTAGAGATAGCGGGAATATAGCGCCTTACGCTGGCCTGCATTGTTCGTGGTATGATTTCATGTGGGACCATTTTCATACCAAGGACTCCCACATGACAAGCAGTTAGCTGATAATAGAACCTCTATAGCACATCAGAGTACTATCGGGGTGGGGAGAAGAGGATGGTCTGGAGCAATGGGGAGAGCGGAGTGGAGTGATTCTTGATTAAACGAGTTAATATTCCTAGCTCCAATGAATTGTAACACCCTAATATCATACTTAAGGTGTGTGCAAATCTCTCAGGCTGAGTTAAACTACTGCTTGTTTTACGGCCCTGCTCTTCGGTCGTTTTTCTACCACGACTTTAGCTTGGTATATTTTTTTAGTTCTTAACTTCACAAATCTGGCGTATTTTTTGAAGCGATCCCCTAAGTTATCACCAATCTTTTCTTTGTGACATTCCCTGTCCCACTAAAGCAATAATTTTACACTCTGCTTTTTGTAAATCCAACTTTTTTTGTTAGTAAAATATCTTATATTTCATCTCAGATCAATAATAGAACAGACAATTATTTATCATCACACAATACAGATTCCATGTAAGTTAGAATGTACAGGATAAAAATGATAAAGACATTATTATGATTTCAAATCTTACCTGTTGTTGCTGTTGCTGCTGCTGTTGTTGTTCAGCCGCGAAATGCTCGAATTGTTGATTGACCGATTCTGCCAATGTGACGCCGAGATGAGGAGCCAAATGCGGCGGTAAGTGGTGCAAGTGGTGCGGTTGAAGTGGTTGTTCGTTTGGTTGTTGTTTCAGAACCGCCAACGACGCCGGATCTAATCCCATGCCATTTTTACTGAGTTCTTCTTCGGCGGGAGAGGGCTGCCGGCTGCCCGGAGTCCGACTGCAAAGGAAACTGTTTCTTTCGTTAGATATTCTTAAGCACAGAATATAAAATTATAATATAGTTTTATTATTTATTTTTGTCTTTACAAAATCATATCATGTATATCGATCTAAAACGCCAACGTTCAATGAGGTTACACCTTGTGGACTTATCAATCGAACTCTGTTCTTTTTTTTGCTTTTTTTACGATTTGCGTAGCAAATAAGCATCGGTATTTCAGTTAAAACGATATAAATGTCTGCCTAGCACATTAATGTAAAAAGAAATGAGATCTAGCTCAATATAAGAATTTAGTAAAATAAAAAAGTGTTTGCAAAACAACATAAATTCTAACCATAAAACAACCGAACAAAACAAACAGGCAGTTATCGTCAAAGTTGGTGACGTAATGAATAGTAAAAACTTAAGTTTTCAGCAATTCCACCCTGCATTCCGGGAGTTTTATGCGGTTAGTACTTCTCGTTAACCGTTAGAAGAGACTTCAGCGCTTTGTTTTCCTTTTTATTTTATTTTTGTCTAGAGCGGGAAAAGTTGACCTCACAACGAGCGATCTTAGGGATACTACTAGAACGTCAACAAAACTATCTATACAACTAACAACTTTCTTAAGTTAAGTTATTTAAGGACGAGGAAGCAATGTGAAGTTTATAGTTTAAATAGAAGGATAACATGAGCTTATATAGTCAAATAAATTGTAAATTAAAACAAGAAACCTACAAAACATTTTTGGCTAGCTACTAACAACTAAAAAGGATTTATATGGAACAGTGCAATGCAATGCAATGCAATGCATAAATTTGTGTGCACAGTAATTACATTGAAACTATATTATTAGCCTATACATAAACACAAATAACAAATTAAACCAGAATAGATACAAAAAACTAGAGACAGAAAGCACAAGAACCTTGTACAGAAATAGGGTGTAGAAGAAAAATATTGAAAAAACTACGAACGAATACAATGACTCGAAAACTACTTGGTGGCAATTGACAATCTGGAGCCGGATGTTTTTAGAACGCATAGTAAGAAGCTTGAGGGGATGAGACTGCGACAAGTGCGGCGTTATACTACCTCTGTACTGTAGTAGTGTGTCATATCAGTAAACATGGAGAAGTGGACGCTAGAATATCGCACGTTTGCATACGATGCGTTTATCGTATTGTGTTATTAAAGGAATTGTGTAACCCAATTGTGTAATTGTGTTTTAGAATGTGTGGTTTCGGCAGGATGGTGCCACGGCACATACTGCCCATGTTTCAATGAATATACATTGCAACCTGTTCCCAGCACAACTCATTTCACGTTTAGGAGATTTGCCGTGGCCTCCAAGGTCTCCAGACCTGTCAATTTGTGATTTTTTTCTATTAGGTATTTAAAGAGTCGTATATATGCTAGCAAGCCTCGTAATTTGATCGATTTGAAGAACGCAATTCGCAGAAAATCCTGACTACCGATCGGCGCTGTTAGAGCGTGATATGGAGGATTCCATAGAAGATCGAAAACTGCATCTTACGTGATGGTCACCATCTTGATGACATTATTTTCTTTACTTCATTAGATTGTAAATGGATTAATATAAACTTTATTTTGATCTTTCACCATCTTGATGACATTATTTTCTATATTTCATTAGATTGTAAATGGATTAATGCAAGCTTTATTTTGATGTTAATAAAATAGTATTTTCTTGCAAATTGCTTGTGTACCATTTAGTTCAAAATCGTCCTATTGCCAATTGTCACCCTGTACAACTGTTTAACATAAATATTATCGTGTGAAATGCATGTACACGGGAAATAAGAATAACAATAGCAAAATTCCGATGTGTATTTAACAGTATGAAACAAATACTGCAACTATGCAATATAAACCTAAAGTTAAAAAATTAATATTACGGATATATGAATCTTATGTTATTAGAGTCTTGTAGTGCGAGGCTTGTCTTTTTAGTTTTGCACGTAGCCGCTTAGAGGGCGCCAAAAATTAAAACTTCCGACTGAAATTTAACCTCAATCTTTTGTTGACATAAATCAAGAGTTTTATTGTAATAGAACAACTCATGTAGCTAAGGGATAATCTTCTCCAAAATTTTTTACAAATTTTGGAGAAGATTATCCCAACAACAATGTCTCGCTGAAATGGTTTCTGTGTTTAAAAATGAAGCATCCATTACGACAGTATTAACCGCAGCTAATCCATTATTTGTCAAAACTTGGATGTTATATTAGGCTGGAGTCATAGTAGCGTGAAACTCAGCTGTTTGTTGTACTGAAATATTACCCATGATATGATGGTATGCTAGCACCCAGCTGGTTTACACATCACCTATCCAATCTTTAGCATTTCCTCGCGATTCCCCATTAAATTCCTTGCGGTTCGTTTTTGGCCAACATTTTGGTTTTCCAGGAGTGTGTTTTGAGTTAGGGGATGATGAGGTACCTTTTGAGGATTGGTTAATATACCAATCAACAAATATTACTTAGCAATAAAATATGCCGTCAAGATGGGCCCTGTACCCCTTTTCCTTACCGAGATATAGCTATGGCTATGCTAGCTTTACCGTAAAGTTTTTACCGTAAAGCAACAGCAATAATTTTTTTCTTTCCGTAATAAATTAAAAATAAATTATAATATTGATCTGAAGTCGACCAACATCGACCGATATTGTGATGGGGCAAACTATCGATGCAATAGCTATGAGATATAGCTTTAACAATAAGTTCACAATTAAGATACCAGGCAGGGAAGACTGGAATGAAGGTGTGTTACAAGCTGTTGTTACCTGGTACACTGATGGCTCCACAATTCATCACTGCGTGGAAGAAATAGAAAGGCAGGAAAGAACGTTTCGTTCAGTTGCCATCTGTCAGGCAGCGCTTAAGGCACTCAATTCTGTAGAGGTCACTTCTAAACTAGTATTGGATTGTGTGTGTGTCCTAAATAAACTAGGAGACCGTAACAAGGTGAGTACCGGGGCACAAGGATCATGAGGGCAATGAAAAAGCAGGTGAAATGACCAAACAAGGCTCATCAATGCCATTCATTGGACTGGAACCCTTCTGCGGTGTTGCAAAGACAGTAACAAGAATGGCTACAAGGAAGTAGGCAGCTCACAAATCTCTGGAATGGAAGGAATTCACCAGTACAAAGACACTTCATTACAGAACATTCGCCAAAATCTACGGCAGACCTAATAAACAAAGACAGGAAAACAGTCAAAGCTATAGTAGGTCTTCTAACAGGGCATTATAAGCTGAATAGGCACTTTAAGCTGATGTAATTATCAGATGATGACCTGTGCAGATTATGTCAACTCGAAGGAGAAACAGCAGAGCACATTATATGCCAACAGTGTGACAGTTTGGCAAATTTGATCTTTCCATTAGGAGAAGAAAATCCACAATAGCTACATGGAAGGTATAGTCTCGAAGCTGTTAGACTTTTTAAAAAGGATCAGACTAGAGAATGTTATCTACGACTAGAGGACCACAATAGATCTGAAAAGGTTGCAGTGGAATAGGCTAAAAGGCTACCTCTCTTAATCTATCTATCTAGAATGAAACAAGGAAGAACTCCCAGTGAATTAATAAACACTGAGGCTGGTAAGAAAATAAAAAACGGACGTCGTCAAGAAAGAAGGTAAAAGAAGGTCTGAAATTGTTAAGGACACAATAATGGAAAAAACTAGCACAGGACAGAAAGAAATGAAAGAAAACTGTTGAAGCATTATGTCTCAAGATCTGTTAAGCTGAACTATATGTCATTTTGGAGATCAATTTTAAGACTTATGATAAGAAAATTAGGGCTTCTAGAATTGGAAGGATTCTGATTATCTAGTTTCTTAAACATAGGTACCTCTATACTATTAGTCTCCAGCTATTTGGAATAATATTATCTTTAAGGATATTTTGCACTAATTTTGGAATTTCCTCTTGAACCGATGCCACACCTCATTATTTTAGCACTTAGAGATGAGTACAAATGAGATATTCTACTTGATCCTGGTGACTCTGTTTTTTTAACTGGCTTTATCAATGTTAACACTTATATTTTCATTTAATTGTCCATTTGGTGCTAATACAATGTTTTGCATTGATACTCTTTAAATAAATAAGTCTGTCTAACAGAAAAACAGTAACATTAAGTTAAAGAGTGTAAAAATATGCAAAATAGAGAAGCAGCGAGCGAGAATGGATTAGCCAAAGCAGAGAAGAGACAGAAAATACAAGTGCCTAAATACTAAATATTCCCATAGAAACTTCATCGATGAAATAGAGGGCAAAACGTCGATAAATGAAGCAAGATAGGTATGACGGAAAAAAATCGCTATTACGCCAGATCCTAATCTGGGCAAATCTATTTATCCAGCAAATCTGGGACGAAATTGTAAGGCGCATTCCAATTACCTAGAATCCAGCATCTTAAAAATATAATTAATTTTTTTGTAATTGTATCTTATTGAATAGACATTACCATATTAAAATATTTCCACGTAACGATTCTGCAACGATATTTTCTCTGTTATTTTTCCGTTTGTAAATATACTCGTATTTCCCCTGATATATTTTAAAAACCGATAAGTAATATTGTGGATTATTGTTTGTATTTCATATTTATCAATGCAGCTATTGTTTTTCCGTCCGACTAATATATGAACATCGTTCCATTACTATTGATGAGTATTGGCGTGGAACAACGGACCGAACCTATAATTTACGCCTATATCCATTCAAAATAGTAGTGGAAAGCGTTCTAACCATTGAGTTTTTATTTAGGGTATTAATATTTAGAGAGACTATTGAAGGGTATTTACAAAAACTAAAAATATTGAACTGGAAAAGAATGAAATCAATCATTAAACTGATAATATCTGTGGAAAAAAAGGCTAAGAGCTTTCTACCGTCTAGCGAACGGGAAATTGTAATCAATGAGGATAAGAATAGAAAAATCACTTTTAAATACATATAACCTGAAGATATTGAATGATTAGGTGGAAATTTATAAATACCGCTAATTTATAAATAAGT